AGCTAATTAGCATAGGTTTAGCTGGGTCAACCAGGCTTAAGGAGCTACACCCAACTTCCTAAGGGGGAGGTCAAATCTATAGATGTATTTTATGGAGGTTGGGTTAAAGTTCCAACCTTCTAGTAAAGCAAGGCTAAGTTCAAGTCCCAACCTTATACTAGAGTGTGGTGAGGTGAGGGGTATAGTGACACTTATACCCCGTTGTCATAAGCTCTTAGCTAGGGAGGCTGATTTAAGCACACCACTAAGTGGGGGGATGCTTCTAGAAACATGGTCAATAAGTCATAGGATTAATCATTGGATTTGATGTGAGTATTGAACTTTTTCTATAGGTGGTGGAGTTGTAAGGAACCAACTCCCAGAGATGTTATAGACTAAAGGAACCCTAAAATCACAACTGGAATGATAAAGAGTTCATCGGATGAGACTGAGTTCAAGGCCGAGTCCGAGATCGAGTCTAAAATAGATTCTAAGATCGAGTTCTAGACCGAGTTCGAGATCGAGCCCGAAACAGAGTTCGAGGCCAAGTTCAAATACTAATATAGGTCATAGGGTGAAAGCCCAAAGCATGTACTCTTGATTGCAGTACTCCCAGCTCATATAGAATCATGCTTTACTTGAGTACCTTATAGTTTATTGGTCCTCACCCCATTCTAAAGGCTTGGGCTTTCCCTTCATGATGAAAGTGGGGGAGTATAGGTATTTATACTAAATTTTTAGGTTATAATGTTTCCCTTCGGTGTCCCGAAGCAAGTGTTACACTCGAGGCTTAGGATTTAAAGGGTCTTATGATCAAATCTTGTTGTACTAAGGGATGTTAAGAACCTAGAGGCTTGGTGTGCTTGGCTTCTTGTGCTATGAGGAGTGTAGCCGAACCTTAAATCCAATCTAACCCAGGGAGGGGAATTGAGAGAGAATTTAAGAATCTATGGATGGATGGCTAACACTTTGTTGCTCATGCAGTGAGTTGCTAAAATTAAATAGGACCAAGTAAGAACTGGTACAATAGGTGGGAACCTTAGCAAAGGAATTTAACTAAGGCCAAGATAGTGGTAGTCAAATAAGTGAGATAAGCTGGTAAATTGGAAAGGAAAAGTTTATAACTTACAATTTTCTTATAGATATGTTAAGGAAATATTGTGGATCATACCATAAATTTTTCTTTAGAATTAAATTAATCAATATAAAACTTATAATCATTGTTATATAAAACTTGGCTATTACCTTCTTTGAGCTTTTGGTTTTTTGAGTTATTATATTTATTATTCCATTTGTTAAGAGTTGTCAAGGAAGGCATTGATACTTTATAGTATCTACCAGATACAGTCGTTATTATGCTCTATATATTGGTCTTATTTTGATCCTATTGACTATTTATGGAAGGTGTCTTCCAATTTATATGTTAGTCTTTGGGATTAGGATTCTAGATGCTTTAGAATTGTTTCAATATTACTCTATGCTCTTGTTTTTTCATTCATTGGTTGTATGCTTAAGAGTCCAATTCCATCTTGTTATTCCATGGTATAAAGTTTTAAAACTTGGGCCTTGCTCCATTGCTCTTGGCAGACATATCCAAAGGTTAGATTTATCTTCATAGTTATTCTATAGTAAATCACTATAAAGTACAAAATGAAAACCACATGCATTATAGGTACTAATATTGTGCTAATTTCCAATGTCTGCAAGAGTTCAACTATGAATCCATAGACATCATGGGCATTTCTTCATGGGAGCTTGTGTATTACATCTTCTAGATGGAAGTGTAGGTCCCTTATGCTCCTGGCTATTGGTATGGTTGGCATATATCCCACCTTCTATAGTTGTTAGATATATATTGTATCTAGGGTTTCCATCTCTTGCAATAGGACAAGTGTGGGTTTCTTTTTAAATATCTTTTGGGTTGAAGTAAACTTGTCTAGCTTGTTCTACACTAAATGCTTTGACTTATCACCTCTTGTATGCATGTGCCACTTTCTAGAATTCCCAGTGTATCTATTCTATGCATGGATCAATGTATTTGTATGCTTCTTGGTATAGCCATTAGCAAGCCACATTCCACCACCTTTTGACTGGTATTTTTAGGAATCGGCAAAGTCTTCTTTTTGTGTACTTGGCAATAGCTTGTTTGAGTACTTGCACTAGGAGGTTGGCTTGCTTTCAGATTTGTGTTAAGGGTGATTCTATATTCCATAATGCTTTCACTTCTTCTTGTAGTATTTTTCCTTTGGTTGAGGTAGTCATGCCCATGAGTTCAATTCTTAGTGCAATTGTTGCATGCAGACTGTCAGTGCTAGTGACTGGTGATCTGATTTGGCCATGAAATCCAGAAGCTGGAAGTGTGCCACCATTTTTAGTGTTGCTATGTCACCAATGACATAGTCCGGTGTGCTACTTTTTTGTGTTGGGCTCTGCCCCATTGCCCAGCCTCTTGAGTGGTGTCTACTCACACCATGGCACTAGTGTGTGGGAAACTGATTATACTGTTGAAAATCTTCATCTCCAGTTTCTTGCAAAACTCCAGTAGCTTATGCTTGTGCCTGTCATAGCCGCTCCATAAATCAGTCAGTCTTATGTGTGATTCCCTCTTTTTTGGTGGAGTTTGGTACACCTTTGTCTGACTGTTGAAGTCTCCCACTAGTAGGAGAGTTGCATGGGTATTCCATGCCCAAATCCTTGTCACAAATGTTTCATATAGGTGCTTTTATTGTTGTGTCTAGTATGGCTAGGGGTGTGATAGACCACAAGTGGTTTTTGGAGTTTGGATTTGCATTGTGAGAAAGTGATTGTCCTCATCTTGGTATTGGCATGTGATGGTCGTCCTGAGCTTGTCACACACATACATTGTGATGCCTCTATCCCCCTGTCCTGTGCAAGTTATCTTCCAGTGCTAGGTATTGTGGGCTGTCCATCTTGGATACTTTGCAATGCAACATTGCTGGTGTTCCTAGGGCAACTATATCACTTCACTTCTAATCTTGCAATTGTGGGGGAACCCCCTAATATTCCAATACAATTCAGATATTCCTTTCTACAATGTAGACAAGTGACTATAGTGCAATTGATTTGAATTCTGGTGGGTACCTGGTGCCTGTTTGTGCTTGGGTTCTGACATTATCCCCACTCTCTCACTGCTTGTCCCATTTTAGGGATAGATGCTTTCTCGGATTTAGAAAAAGGGGGCTTTTAAATTGAGAAAAATTGCCTCTTATACTAGTTATGGACACTTGGTACTTATTAAATATGTAGTTAGAAGTTAAACATAAATAAAACAATCCTTCAAACTTTTAGAATCAACTAATGGTTTAAGCATAATATGGAGTATGGAGCTGGGCACTCGAGGTCTGATCTTGGCTACCCTACTACCATCCTTTCAAAGTTTGCCCTAGAGAGAGGGCTTTCACCCTTAATGTGAAATAACTAGATAACATAATAGAAATAACTATAAATATTTTGAAAACACTAGATTATATATTTTAAATTAATTTACAATAAATATAGATAAAAATCATCAATGTCAAAATTATAATTTATATAATAAAATAGTCTCTCTTTTTTTAGTTCAAAGCATAAAGAATCTATCTAGTAAGCATTTTACAAATTATGGAAAGCTTGTAGGGCTCATTGAGGTTCTTATAATATAGTTTGTTAAATTTTATTTTTCTGATATATTTAATATAAGAAAAAATTTGCTGTGTGTTGCCTGCAACAACGCTTGGTTTTCTTAATTATATTATCATTGAATAATCCAATTGATCAATAATTATAAACATGTTTATAATTTGTAAATCAAGATTAATCTTATTGCATATTAACCATTAAATGGTAGAATAAAAAAGAATATACTAGGAAGTGTTTAGGAAAGTTTATAAATTATAAACGTGTTTATAAATTATAAATACAAGATTAATATAAATTAATAACAACCGTTAGATGGTAGAATATCATAGAATATCTAGGCATATTCTAGGTATATCCACTCCCTACAGATTTTGCTTAAGCAAACCAAAAATCAAATCTAAAACTATTTTGTAATGTAATTTTTATGATTGATATTTAATATACTTAAAATATATATAATAGTATTAAGCTTAGATTTGGGCCTTTATATTAGACCTAACTAAAAATTTAACAGAACTACTAGACGTGGCTTGAAAAAATAGATTGAAATATTTAATATTTTATCTATAAGCATATAAAAACTAAGATGCTAATAATCTTCTATAATTAGTATGTGATCACATAGTAGCAAGCTTGGCAATAGAAGGTACAGAAGGATCAACCCTTATTAGAACTGTTGACCTAAACCTCCTAGAGGATGTGGTGAGATGAATGAATATATGCAACATGAATTGAGCAGCTCAAACTCTGGACATGGCAAACTTTTCAACAATGGTTCAGTGATAGGATAGTGGACACTGTAGGCTACAAGATTTACAGAGGCAACAATAGAATCTACATCAATAGAAATTATTCATGGTTCAAACATGGGTTTAACATCACAATTTGGTTTAGTAAACGTAAAATGACAGTCTAAACAACATCAAGGCAAAGGAATTGTACCTGGAGATGAAGGAGATTTACGTTTACCCTCTTCGGGTACCCCTAGAGGCACCGCCATTTTCCCGCCGGTCATTAAACCACAGAGTAAACTCTCATAAATGGCGACACCCTCAAATCACTCAACGTGGAACTCCAGAAAACAAAAGGAACATAAAGAATTACGGTAGAGAAGAATATCTTTGTCAAAGCACAGATAACCACCACGGCAAACAAGCCAATCTCAAGACCTGGGCGTATCACATCAATCTAAGGCGGTGGCCAGCAAGCTTTCGCCACCTTAATTAACCCGGCTTAGTCACCCACTTAATTAGCTCCAAGCCGTTCCGGTGCCCCACACCAGAAGCACCACCTCCAACATGCTGCTATCAAAGATCTGATCCTCAAGCCTGCTTCCGTACTGTTGTCCTCAGCCTTTGACAAAAACACGATAACACTCTCGCTGTCAAATAGAATAAGTAAAATGTATAAAAGAAAAAAATACATTGGAGCAGTGATTTTAGCAGCAGCAGCAGCGGGCAGCGGCAGTAGCAGTGGTAGCAGCAGCAAAAGATTTGCAGGAAGGTGTGAGTGTCTGTGAGAAAAATCTGAGAGCTCTCCACTCCAAATCTTTCTTTACCACCGCGAATTATAAGCAAAGGCCAGTTGAAAGTTCCTCGCAGTCAGTGGTGAGAGTGAGAGAGCGAGCGAGCGAGCGAGCGAGCATCCAGGCATGCACCAGCGATATCTTGACAGCACCAGGCACTATGTGTCTCACCCCAAGGTTTGCATCATCACGGATTAAAGAAACTACAGGAAAGAAAAGACCAAACTATAAGAGTATTAGTATACTGCTTAGAAACGAGAAACGAGAGAGAACGATACCTCCAGAATCGTAGTCCACTTGTCCAAAGAGCTCTCGAGGACTCGTCCCCGCTACAGAAACTTATCAGTTAGAGAACCGACCAACAGCGAGAAAAGAGGAAAGGAAAACCATTGACAAGGAAAAAGAAAGAAAGAAAAAAGAACCAGCGACCGCTCTAATCTCGATAAGTTACGCCGTGTGATCTTGCCCGTTTCAGCTTAACGGGGACCTGTGAGGCGTGCTCTTCCGCCGACCTCCTCCCGATGAGAAAACTGCTGTGGCAGCCGCGGCTACAACTTGCTTGATCCCCCGCGAGCTTCGAACTTTCTTCCGCGCGGGCGCAGCTTTAGCCGCTGCTGGTGGCGGCGTGGATGATGTCGTCGCGGTGGAGGTCACTGCGTAGGAGCTGCCATCGTTGGCTGTGGAACCCGAGGATGTATCAGAGTCCTGGTCCTCGAGGATGGAATTTGGAGATAGCTCCTCGTCGTCGGGCTTGTCGTCGTCCTTGGAGCTTCCCGCTGGAGAGACTGGGAAATCCGAGAGCTGCAGCGAGTTGCAGCGAGGGAGGAGGCTCGCGAGATCGTTCCCTTGTTTGCAGGCAGCATCAACCTGATTGATCGAAAGAGAGTGAGCCTCACAATCAATGAGCGGAGTACCTTGCATCCAACTGAGCAGTAACGGTATGACTCTTGCAAGCTTCGATCGCACGTCTCGCAGACATTGCCAAGGCCTTTCGGTGGTCGCGGCTGTGGCCTTTGGTTCAAGAAAACTACTCTAGCGCTGTTGATTATGTAAGTCTGCCAAAGGAGAAGAGAAAGCCATGAATCTACAAAGATTTTTCACTCGAATTTGCACAAATCTTACCTGTACATGCGAGCAATCGACGAGCTTCTGGATGTCATGCAGCCGGATTACATCGTGATAGACGTATCTGCGAACCTGGAATAGAAACACCATTCCCCCGGAATTAGAAATCCTCTAGCCGAGAAACCGAAGAAAAGAGAGAAGCAACGAAACAAAAAAAAACCAAGCGATCAAGAAATTTCTTCCTCCCCATGGCCGATCGAACCTGCAAGAGCTTGTGATTCCTGTGGCTGGAGAGGCAGTGCTGGCAAATGCTCCCCGTGCAATCGACGCAGAAGATATTTCGCTCGTTCTTCTTGAGCGCCGCGTGCCTGGCGCACGCTGTGAAGAATTTCTCGCTCAGCAGAGATTCCAGCCACGCCGGCTTGAGCTGCTGGGGCACAACCGAGAGATTGGAGCCCGAGGCCTGCATAATCCGGGAGCGCTCCAAGCTTCCCACTCGATTTACATTACCGCGCGGCGCCGATCGAAGCGAAAACCTCTCAAAATCTCCCTCCCCTAAGCGCGTCGCCGCCGCTACGCCTTCTTCTTCCCTGTCTAGAATGAATAGCTAAAATGTGGCTTCTCCTCCTCCACCTCCTCCAAGTAAATGACCATATAAATCCTTTAATCTTTCCTGTCAAGCGAAAACAAATCCCAGCCGTCCGTCGCGGCCCATCCGACGGTGGAAGTGACCCATTGTGCGAGCAGTCAGGAGGAAAACCATGTAGACCGCGCGGTGCCACCGCGCGGTCGCCCTTTCCCGCGCGTTCAAATTCGGCGATCGTACAACATTGGTACGTGTGGGGGTCAATGTCAGGCGAGCATTTCCGGGGCTCGATGGCATCCCAGCCGTCCACGTGGCACCCCTAGCCCGACCTACCAGAGCCGACGTTCGAGTCCAGTCAACAGCCGGCATTATCAATCACATTTTCCTTATTGTAAAGATTTGTGCAATCTTTCAGGTCGGCAAGCCCAAAGTTCCACCAAAGTTTTTTCCGAAAGTTTCAAAACTTGCTGCTGGATTTGGATCAAAGCTCGAGCCGATCGAGTTTTGATCACCGGGTGATCGTAGCTAACAGCAGCATGACCAAGTAAAAACCTTTGTATAGAGCGAAAAGAAAAAGAGAAGAGAGAAGAGGGAAGAAGAGATTAAGAACCATGCATGCATATTATTTTCCTCCGTAGCGTGTGCGTCGACGACAATGGCGATGGCGATCGTCGATGGCGATGGCGATGGCCTGGCCGCAATGTTACAGTATCGAACAAGAACACTTGTTGTGCTTGGAAGAGTCGGATGGATGCTTCTCTGCGAAGACCACAACAAAAAAAAGAGAGACGAACAAAGCGTTAGTGGGATCTCGCCAGAGAAAGCGTTTGATCGAAGGAAATACTTTACCACCTCCTTTGTCAGTGGACGGGGGTCGAACCACGACGTGCATTGTTATCACTCCACCGGGAAGCTCTCCAACGGGGACTCTTGATTCTGACAATGTCTTGTTGTTCTCAAGCACCTTGCCAGCATTGATCAATTTCATGTCATTCACCGACTTTGGACCATTCTCTTTCTCTGAATATGCAATGAATCCGATGATCAAAGAGAGCTCCTAGAAGAAGAAGTTAAAGGAAAAACAAGGACGCAAGGAGACAATCACGCAAAGATATGCAAGAAAAACCATGTCACCCAGGAAAATGTAAGGGGGAGAGAGAGAAAAAAAAATTTAAGTACCTTGTGGCCACTGTGCGATGATACTCTCCTTCAACGTGGCGATGGTCGTGGCGGGAGCATACTTGTAAGGCCCGATGTCGGAGCCATCGCTGAGCCGGAATTTGAGCTCCAGCAATTCTTGCCCCGCTGCTGCCATTTCCTGATCTAGAAATTCAAGAATTCCGCTGCGTCACGATCCTAGCTCTATACATTTGACGGACCAGCTCCAGCCAATTCCCACCAAAAGAATGAGCTAGATCTGCGACCTAACTAATCTGCGCATCTGGAGCAGCCAAGCCGACTATCATCAACACCGAGAGCGCGGGCGCCGACCACCGGATTTCCTCGCCAAGATCTCCGATTTCCAGCCTTACCTCGGAAATCCAAGCCGCGCGATCGCTCGGGGACGACGACGACGCGGCCGATGCGCGTCACTGCTGCTGCTCCACGCGCGTGCGCGTCACAATCCCCAAGCCGCCATAGCGCCGCCCAGCCCTAGGCGGCAACCCCTCTCCCCAACAAGAAAGACTCCTCCCACTAGGGTTTCTTCCTGGCTGTAGTGGCAAGCAACCGAGATGGAAGGGAAAGCTCATATAATACGAGAGCCCGTCCGTACGGCACCCGAGTTCTGGCGCGCGAAATACGGAATGGGCCGCCGCCAGAATATACCTCGCCTGCCAGCTGGCGTGACACGTCTGTTTAGAATATTTTTCGAATATACTTCTCTTTTTTCTTTTAGCGCTCCATAGTCCACAATAAGTCCACGTCCGACTGGACTTTCACCACTTCGTTCTCCACGACGTTGCAAGTGCTGATGAGCGATCCAATCGCCATTGCCGTGGAGTCGAGATTCCATCGCAGTCCGGTAGTGGTGGAACTCTGGGATCGCTCGCCCAGGGGGACGAGACCACAATGCGCGCCAACTCTCGCCCTAATCTCGTGGAGGACGCCGTGGCGGAGGAGGAACACTAGATTCTCGTCGCTGGCCAGGCAGATCCTCAAGCCCGGGAACGCGAACAGCACATTCAAGTTGCCAAGCTCGTGATCGAATCGCCCGCCCAGCGCGCCCAGCACGACGATCCTCTCCACTTCGTCGCCGCGCGAGGAATCTCTTAGGAAGCTCACGCATTTGTGGAGATCCGTGGAGTCCTGATCACTGGACATGTCCAGGATCTCGCTGCCCTGCGCGCAATTCGCGTACTTTCAGCTCTGCTCGACGCGAATTTAAGCTCATACCTTGGAGGCGTAGATCTCCCGGATGCTGGGCTCGATAGAATCCAAATCGCCGACAATGTGATCCGGGACGAATCTAAAGAAAGTGATTTGATCAAGCAAACCTTCTCAACAACACAACCTTTCGGCAGGGGAGGGCATCTCGCGATACACTCGATTGGCTCCTCCATCCGCGCAAACGCGCACTCGAGCTGGAAGAACATTCCAATTGATTCAAATAGATTCGCAATCAATCCACTCACCCAGCTCCCACAAAATGGGGGCCTCCTTTGGCAGAGTATTGTTGAGAATGACAAGCGCGAAGCTCCCCCGGGAGAAGAAATCTCTGTGTTCCAACACCGTCCCCTCCATCGCGTAGCCCTAAAAACCAGTCAATCTACCTAAGGAAAAGGGCAAAAAGTCAACGGTCCAACTATTCCTCAGAATGGGGCTCCGTGCCGTGGACGCGGACCCGATACAAGCACGTATGCGTAGAGCTCCCGTAGTTTGACACAACGTGGACTCTGACTGTGTTGACCAGAAGCTTTGACGCGGTCTTGTAGAGCCGAAAGGTCTGGACGCTGGAGCTCTCAATATCATACCTGAATGATCCCAGCAAGACCCTCTCGCCCTTCTTGTGCGCCGCGGAGGCCTCCAGCCAGCCAAACACCTGGAAATCTCTCGGGGCGCTCCCGGTGTCATAGGCAACCCTCTGTTAGATCCACCAGAAGAAGCACGGAATGAGAGAGATCGATCCTTTCTAAGCGATGGTCTATCGATCGGTCGAAAGTGCTGCTAGCTAGCAGTGGCAACGATCGAGAGCCGAGAGGATTACCTTTGAGACGTGCTCGAGCGTGATGGAGTCCGCGTAGATGGCGGTGCGCAGCCGGATGTCCACGAAAACGTTGCTCCCTTTGAGCGGGAGGCACTGCCCGGGCTCGCCAAAGCTGGGCTCCAGGATCTTGTTGGCCTTGGGATGGCGGCGGTAGTCCCCGGGAAGAATGCCCAGCAATCCCGACCAGGGAGTGAGCGAGAAGTAGCCCTCCGAGTAGTCGATCACTCTCCCGCCGCCGATGGCCAGCGCGTAGTCTGTTCTTCCGATCCCGTCCGCCCTGTGCCTCTCCAGCTCGTCCTCGATGATCTTCTTGGCGGCGGCGCGGACGTCGTCCAGGCTGAGCGCCTTGCCCGATCCATCCGTGGCGCGATCGTCCGCCGCGCTTCCAATCAGCTGTAGTGTCTCCTGGCGAGTGAGGATCCCCTCTTGCTTGAGGAAGTTGAGCGACGATTCGATGCTGTCCATCTGGGATTTGAGGTTGTGGACCTTGGAGGCGATCGAGAAGGCCTCGGCGTCGATCATGTGTTCCACGTCGCGCTTGAGCCCCGCCATCTCCTTCCCGATCTTCATGTCGATGAGATCCAGCTGGGCTTGCATCCACTTGGTGGACTTGCGCAGCATCGAATCCATCTCCGCGAATTCCCTCGCGGATGGCACCAATCCCCCGCCCGCCGACTGTGATTCCTGCCAGTTCCAAAACGTGCTGATCAATCCCAGCACCACCACCAGCGCCACGAATCCCCACGAGAAGAAATGCCCCACGAGATCCCAGGCCGTGACATCAATCATCTCCGCCGGGGCCTCCGCCAGTGATGATCGCCGGATGGGCGACTTGGAGGGCCGGGCTTGCTTCCTGGATCGCGTCACCGGGCGATGGGTCTCTGCGGCGGCCTTTTGAGAGGTGGTCGATCTAGTGCTGGATCGTCTCGTTGTTCTTCCCGAAGTTCCTGGAGGAGCCATCGTCACCAATTCTTTGCTCCTAGCCCCAGCTTGATCTCGATCCCCTGCCGCTCCTTCTGCCGCTACTCCTGCCAATCTCGCCGCCCCGAAGATGGAAGCCGGAGGAGGGCAGACGATCGCGGAAGCCATTCGCATCACGCCATCAGCTTCTCACGCCGCGATCGCAACTTGCAATTCCTCCAATCCATCGATTCAAGCGATCGATGGCGCTGCCCTAGAAAACCAAGAAGAAATCACAACTAACCGAAAGAAATGACGTGGCGTGGATGCGTCCACGTCGGCATTTCGTGCTATGACATGCCCGGGAGACGTCGTCATCGCCATAGCTGAAATATCCCTTCTTTCTTTCTCGATACCAATCAGCCCTAATGTGGTGCATGGCGCAGCGCTAGGGTTCTTGGAGACGCCGGCACCCTCCGGCTATGGCCGACGCCGCTAGCAACGAGGTACGTGATCCGAATCTCGGGGACGCTGCTACCGCCGCGGCTGCGGCCATTCCTACTGCCGTGAGATCGCTGCTGCCATCGGCGGCCTCCAGCGCCTTCGCAAGCTCCAGTAGGGTTTCCGAGGCCGGGGACGCTGTGGTTAGGGATGGACAGGGCCGATCTTTCTCCGTTCCGGCAAGGATGGGTCTTTCTTGCTCGATGGAATTGCCAGGAATCTCCTTCGAGGACTCGTCGGCTGCTCCCGCGAGCTTGCTTGGCTCCGCCAATTCTCTGGAGAACTCTGGGGTGACATCGGTGGATTGCAGTAGCCTGGCTGGGACGAGCAATGGGGATCTCGAGTCCATTCCGGGCTTGGTGACGGAGGGGCATTCGTCCATGGAGTTGGAGAGGTCCTTGAATCAATCGGCTGTAGAGGGCGCATTCACTTACGAGTGTATGGACGCCTCGTCGCCGGATCCTCACCACGATTACCAAGAAGCGCTCGGGTCTTACCAGCAGTCGGAGGGACTTTTTCCAGCAGCGGGTGCTTCGGATGATTCCACTTCGCCATCTCTTGCCCAGGGCTCTTGCGCGGTGAATTCGGCGTTCTTCGAGGCGTCTGGATCGGTGGAGTTAGAGACTAGGTCCAGTCCTGTAGATGGTACGCAGTCTGCTTCTGCTGCTCTGGTGAGGGCAGTGACTTTGCTGGATCCCTCGTCTCCTACGGCTGTGAAGCGCTCGAAAGATCTCATAGCTTCCACTCGCTCGAGTATTCCCGGTGAGAAGAGAGCTGCTGTTCCCCCGAAGAAGCCAGCTGATGTAGAGAAGGAAGAAGAAGCAATGCAATTACCATCTTTGCAAGAGCTACAGGAGAAGCTTGGAGCACAGAGAAAGGTCTTCGAGAGTCAAGTTGACGAGCTGCAAAGTCTTCTAAAAGTCCAATACAGCCTCACTGGAGCGAACCCCCTTTACCTAGAAATGGTATCGTTTCTCTTACTTCGTCAACAATTATGTATTGACGTGTGTTACGGTTTTCCCAGGGTACTTCTGTGCTCGGCCCTCGAGCAGGTAAACATCTCATGTTTGCAATGCACTTAGCGAGAGTAAACGTTTTGCAGTTAAAAGGCCTGAAGATTCACTGCTGCCAGAGGCCCAGAGGTTGCTACGAGATGTATTTGCCCTCAAAGACACGGTCACCAAAAAAGAAGTGCTGGAACTTAGTGCCCTCACGGGTGCTGCGCGGACTCACGTATGTTATTCTGGAAGTTGTGTCTTGTATAAGGTTTTATTTGATCTTGTTTGCTTTTACTGTAGGTCAATGACTTCTTCACGGGGCAACAGTCTCGTGTGAAGAGGCTGATACAAATGGCAACCGATGATACCGGAAAGGTTGACGTGAGCAGTACCGCGGAGTACACCCAGTCGCAGTTTTTCCCGACAAATACAAGCTCTCTGACAACGCTGAGCTCATTAGAGGCGTTCGAAAAGCTTCTAGATCACATGCGTGCAGAGAAGTCATTCACTGGCCAGTCGAATCTCCTTCAACTTATTTTGGAAGCGGACTTTGTTCCGGGACTTCGCTTGTGAGTTTCAATATGTTAGATATTATGTTGGTTATTTTCATACTCTTTGACTTTGCAGTTTCTTAGAGAACGGTGGCTTGCGTGTTTTGGCCAAGTGGTTGACTCAGGCAGCTTCTGAAGAACAGACGAGTCTCGTCAGGTTAATATTGAAGGTAAGTAAAATGTTTCTTTTACTTGTAACGCATTTTATGATTCGGCCCTTCAGGCTCTTCTACACTTGCCGATGATCCATGCTATTCCGGCCCATGTCTCTCCACTTGTTCAGATAATGACCAAGCTTCGGCTGTATTTTGCAACAGGTACCTTGCCATTTGTCATAAAGATAACTCACAGTGATTGTACGTATTAGACGTTGCTTCGAGAGCACGCACGTTATTAGCAAAATGGTCAAAGATTTTTGCACGAAATGGAGTTGGAAAATTAGCGGTGCAAGCGGCAGAGCCTGGTAATGCTTCTAATCTTATTTGCAAGCTTCTGGTTCTTACTTCCTCTGTCTTCCTTCCCTTTCAGCTGGTGTTTCAGGCGCACTTGGACAAAGCAGGTACTGGCTTGTATGCAAAAGTGTTTGGATGCTTTACGATTCAAGCTCATTTGTGCAGCTCGAGTGGACCGTCTGTTGGTCCGGACAAGAAGAAGCTTAAGACCGGTATCATTGTCATTGCTATGGTGTATTGTTCTAATTTTGTCTCAAAATTCAGAAACCAGCCCCGTTTCGGATGCGCAGAATGCGCAGAGGGCGCAGCAAAACAAGGTGTTGGCTCAGCCAAACTTAAAAGGATTGGACATGTCGGAGAGGCCATCCTCTAGCTCAAATTTGCGGTAAGAAGAATTTTAAATTTTAGTTCTCTAATTAATAGTGTTTTTAGCAGGAGATCTCTACAAACCGTCGATGACCCCGTACTTGCCACCCAGGCTTCGAAAAAGAAACTTGCTGAACGTAGGTTTCAGGTTTTTCTTTTTAATCCTCTTAAGGTTCTTGGTTGTCATTTTGCAGATGGCAAAGAGAAAAGACGAGTCGTTCTCGTGGAGGAGCTTACTGCAACGACAAGACGTATCAGAGATGCTAATGCGAGGAAGCCTTCTATAACGGATAAAGGATCACGGCCTCTTTCGGCAGATGACATACAGAAAGCTAAAATGCGGGCGCGCTTACTTCAAGGATCTAATCCAAATGCGGTGAACTCAAACCGTGGTAGTCAAGCCGTGGCACCCGATGGCAGCCCGCAAGAATCGATTCCTCCGACCGCTCCCGTTCAAGATTCAGCTTTGCAAGATTTAGCTATGCCAACTGCGCCACAAAAGGTGGAATATTTCAAGCCCGTACAAGAGTCACCTCCGTTGAAGGTTCCAACGACAGAGTATTTCAAACCGCTTCAGGAAGTAACACCAGCAACTCCGCCAAAGGTTCCTTTCGCGGAGTTCTTTAAACCGGCACCACCTCAGGAGTTGACACCGTCAATCCCGCTGGACGCACCACGGGCGCTTCAAATTGCAGAGCTTCTGAAGCGTGTAACCCCTTGGAGCATACCCCGAGGTAATGGCTGTTTATCTTCCTTTGTTCGGTCTCTAACTGGTTTCTTATCTTCTTAGTGTTTACCGTGGATCCGCAATGGACTGTTGCCGTTGGGGAAGAAAGTAAGGAGAAGGAGGTTCAATCCATGCGTGTGAAGCGTGAAGTGGAAGAGTTCTACTCTGACCCAGGCCTGATCCCCGAGAATCCAAGGGATCCATGGGACGTAGAGCCGGACTACGACGACTCCCTGACCCTCCAAGTTCCACTGGAAGATGCACAGGACAAGGCAGAAGGTACAACAATCCCGCAAGCTCCAGAACCACCTCAGGCGGCTACCGCAAGTGCCCCGGCTCACGACCCCGAGCTGCTGGCACTGCTACTGAGGAATCCAGCGCTGGTGTCCGAGCTCACGTCCGGCGTAAAGCCTGACAGCACTCTCAAGCCGGTAAGTTGCATTCATTTCTTCTTCTTCTTTTGGAGCACGGCTTACACGCTGGTGTGTTGGTTTTGGCAGCTCCAACCTGTGCAGGCCGGTGGCGTAGCATCGCTTCTTCACGGCATCCAACAACAACAACAGCAGCAGGTAATGTCTCATCAGTTCCAAAGAGATTCCGCTCCTCCACAGCCACCACAGTTCCAGCCGCAGGGTCTGGAGCTCCCGTACCGAGAAAGAGAGCAGCAGCAGCAGCAGCAGCCATTCTACCTCCCAGGTTCGACGAGTTCTTTAGTAGTGGCACCGCAAGCTCCAAATGCCGGAGACGCTACTGGGCGAGTTCCATGGAATGCTCTTGAGATGTTCCAGGCCCAGGCAAAGGGCGGCGGCGGCGGCGGCGGCGGTGGTGTTGGTGGCTATGGTGGTAGCGGTGGTGGTGGCGGTGGTGGCGGCGGTGGGTTTAGCAATCTCGTCCCACCGGCCAGAGATTTCAATGCAAATGCCAATGGAGGAAACCCGCAACTTTGGAACCGAGTAAGTAATAATAATGTGTCGTTTGGCCAGCATCACCACCAACATCATCATCATGCTCATCATCATCAAGGCATGGAAATGAGATCGTCCCTGGCGCATAATTTAGATGGGTCTGCTAGATTCGCAAGGCCGCCGCCACCCCATCCTCCACAACACCACCAACAAAGCAGCTGGTTTAATAATAATAATCATACTAGGAGCTCCATACCGCCGCGGCCTGGCTGGTAACATACCAAATTTTTGGAAAGAATGGCATTTTATTTTTATCTTTTTCTTACTTTCCGTTTTAAATAAAAAGAATTTCAAATTTAAATTATAAAAGGAGTAACTGTTTTCTTGGGTAAATTAGACACTTTATTTTAAGAAACATTATTTTAAAATAATTTAAAAGAAATGGAAACATTGTTTATAAGAAAGGGAGTTTTCTTTAAAGCTAAAGGTTTTGTTAAGGTTAACTTTGTTTAATGTGAGACTTTCCCTTTTACCATTTTAGGCAAAGTGAAAAAGTAGCCGTTGCGGTGAGGTGGCGATCCAACGGCCACGATGCCCGGGCATTGGCCACGTGGACGGCCGGCTGGACTGTTTTGGAGCTTAGCGTGTCGCTCGCCATGTATAATCGATTATTCCCATCTCTTCTCTCGTGACGGACGCGCTTTCTTCTTCTTCTTGTTCTTCATCGTCTCCTCCGGAGCTCCAATGGCGATGGCGAAGAACAGGGTAAGGAGGAAGATGTGTGACAGGGTCGAGGAGCTGGAAGAGGTGGATCGGCATCCCCTGCTGGTGCACCATCGCCGCCGCCGCCCGGCGCCGCGGAAATTCGCGTCACCGCTCCCCAATTTCTCGCCCGCGCGGAGCTCGAGCGCCAAGAACAGTGGCAGTGGCAATGGAGCAAGCTCCTCGATTCTATCGTGCGTGGGGCTGAGCGGTGAGGGCAAGCGAGGCAAGAATCTCGTCACGCTCGTGGTGGGCGAGGAGGAGAGGGCATTTAGGGTAGAGCCACAGATCCTGGATCACGGAGTCGTCCAGTGCTTGCTGGAGAAGACGACGCGCTGCGAGGCGATCGATCGCGAGTGGCGAGAGGCGGAAGAGATCGAGGAGGAGGGGGATAGCGCGTTGTTCGCCGCGCTGGATGGATCTAGCGTCCGTCGCTCATGGTCCATGGATCACCACCACCACCACCACCAACGTCATCGCCACCCCCACCGCCGAGTGATTCGTGTCGATTGCGATGCGATCCTGTTCGAGCACATCCTGTGGCTGCTTGGGAGGGACGATCCATCGCTGCGGCACTTGAATGTGGACGAGCTCATGGAATTCTACTCGTGATTCGGCAGGAAGAGGAGAACCAAACAGAAAATCGCGATGGTTCCTCCGGATTGCATAGATCAAGCTTCGAATTACTACGAGTTTCGCGGCTCCAAGTCCTCTAGCCTCTGGATTTAACCTCCATAGCTCACAAGGATCGAGCAAATAACCGTCTAGAGGTTTGTCATGATCGATCGAACACTAGAAAAAACTTTGGAAGATATCGCAAGGATTTTGTCAAACAAATCATAAGCTGTATGACATTTCTTATTCTATTGCTTTTAGACGACGACCCGAGCTTTCAGCCATGGTCTCGCAAATCCTACACACGTTTTTGCCAGAAGGAGCTAGCTAGCTCGTCGAGAGATGGAGAACAAAAAAAAGGAGGCCGGAGAGTCAGCTCTCTCGATCGATCAGGACAAGATCGCGAGCAAGTCGGACACTCTCATCACTACGTACTGGCTGTTGTCTTTGTTCTTAAACTCGTTTCCAGCGTACTTAGAGTAGAGAACATTGTCACCGATCGACACTTCGAGCGGCTTCCGGGTTCCATCTTCGCCATAAGATCCAGGACCGACGGCGACCACCTGAAAGATCGAATAGATCACTTATAACTTTAAAGCTTCTAAGATCTCGAGAACTTAAGTTTCTAAGAACTCAAGAACTTACCTCTCCGATCACTGGTTTTTCCTTGACGCTGTCTGTCAAAAGCACTCCACCAGCGGTTTTGTCCTCAGCCTCTGCAACCTGTTTGGAAAATCGCTGTTTTCATTTCTTCCGAAAAGAGAATCAGACTTGCCTTGATCAGGACCCTGTCATTCACAGGCTTGAGATCTTTGATGTCCTCGGTGGATAGCAGCCCAATCACGTCGTCCTCCTTGAGGAGGATGTGGTCAGCACCATTGAACTGGATCTCAGTGCCGGCGTACTTTGAGTAAACGATCGTGTTTCCGACCTGCGAGGCAAACGAAAAACTATGTTCTTCGCACGACACGAATCGAAAAAACCACGTACCGTCACACAAGGTGGAACGCTCTTCTCGCCCATTTTCTTCCCTTCGCCAACTTCGACTACTTCTCCACTCTGAGGCTTGGTTTGCGAGGTCGTGGGAAGAATGATTCCACCATCGGACTTCTCCTCCGAGGCTTGGATCTTGACAAGCACGCGGTCGCCAAGAGGCTTCAAAGTTTTGTACTGCTAAAAAAAAGAAGCTCAAACGCACATTTCAGGCAATCCATCCAAAGCTTCGAAACAGCTCGCGAGAAACTCACCGTTGGAGGAGCAGTCACAGCAGCTCTCGCCACACCGGCTGATAGTCGACTAGCAGCCGAGGATTTGCTGCCGGCCACTGAATCGATGGAGAGAGAGAGCGCAGCGAATTCCCCCTGGCACAAACGCGATACCCGATTGAGCACACGAACTGCCTAGACGTGGATTACCTTGAGCTTCCGGAAACAAGCCTGCTGATTCGAAGAATACTTCCCGCTCGCGCTGCTGAGCAGCAGCGAAGCGCCGGCGCACGAAATGCTCCCCACTGTAGCTGCCATTCCGGCCAGGAGCGCTAGGATGACTCGCGGCGCCGCTGGGACGAAGAAGAATGCCGCAAGGAAGAAGAAGCTTTTGTCGCCAAAACCGCCCTAGAATGCTACCAAGGGTTTCGGACAGGGAGAAGCTTCGAGACGTCCAGATGAACGGCCAGGATCGCGTCACATTATGGTTAAGGTACCGTACTCTTATTAACTAAACCGTACGCTTTAGTTTATCTTAAACCCTTCTTACAACGGCCCCTTTAGCTTAAACCCTCCCTTTTAATCAGATGAACATAGTATTCTCACTAACATAACCGTACGATTTAGTTTAGCTTAAGTCCTCCTGTCTAATTCAGCGGTTGAGATATTTTTCAAACGAACGGCACGGAATGTGCCACAGCACTGTTTTATTAAACCTACCGTTTACCTTAAACCCTCGCTTTTAATCGTCTCTTTTGTCTCGGCTATGTCGTCGAGCGCTATGCAATACCGGCATCTAGGGAAGACGGGGCTCAAGGTAAGCGTGCTCGGCTATGGCGCCTGGGTCACATTTGGGAACCAGCTCGATGTCAAGGACGCCAAGATCTTGCTCTCGCGCTGCCGCGACTCGGGGATCAATTTCTTCGACAATGCCGAGGTCTACGCCAACGGCAGGGCGGAGGAGATCATGGGGCAAGCGATCCGGGAGCTGGGATGGAAGAGATCCGATGTGGTGATCAGCACCAAAATATTTTGGGGAGGGCCAGGGCCAAACGACAAGGGGCTGTCCAGGAAGCACATTATCGAGGGCGTCAAGGCGTCGCTCAAGCGGCTGGAGATGGAGTATGTGGATCTCCTGTATTGCCACAGGCCCGATCCGGCCACGCCCATGGAGGAGACGGTGCGAGCTATGAACTATGTGATCGATCACGGGTGGGCGTTCTACTGGGGGACGAGCGAGTGGACCGCCCAGCAGATCACCGAGGCGTGGGAGGTGGCCAGGAGATTGGGGCTTATCGGGCCTTGCGTGGAGCAGCCAGAGTATAATCTTCTCGCCAGAGACAAGGTGTGTGTTCTTCGTCCATTCTCTTTTTCATTGCATGGTTTCCTTGTTGTTTGTGTTCTTTCTGGGTGACAAGCATGTTGGTTGGAAATTTTATTCTTTCGAGGTGGGTGATGAGACCCAATGTTTTCTTTTGGACGTGCTAGCTTGCAGCATTGCCAAGTGAAAGATTCCAGCTACAGTGGTGTGTCACTCTTTATCGTTCTTTGCTTGGAATTTTGGGTCATTGATTATGCTCTCCATCTTTGTTTTCTTTCTTCCAGGTGGAAGTGGAATATCTTCCACTGTACAGTAGCTATGGGATCGGCGTGACGACTTGGAGTCCTCTGGCGTCAGGAGTTCTGACTGGAAAGTACACCAAATTCAGCATTCCACCTGACAGCCGCTTCTCGCTGGAAAACTACAAGGTCTCCGACTTGTTTTTGTATTGGGTTTCTAGATCTCTTCTGACGATTGTCTCTGCGTCATGACAGAACTTGGCAAACCGATCCTTGGTTGATGATATTCTACTCAAAGTTGACAAGCTCCGACCTATCGCAGCCAAGCTCGACGTTTCTCTGGCGCAGCTCGCCATTGCGTGGTGTGCTTCGAATCCAAACGTCAGCTCCGTGATAATGGGAGCTACAAAAGAAAGCCAAGTGAGTATCTCTATCAATTCCTTCTCCTTCTGGATGTTTTCTAAAAAGATGTACTTTTTTTTATGCTCCAGCTGATAGAGAATGTGAAAGCTCTGGAATTGCTACCCCGCCTCACGCCGGATGTAATGGACAAGATCGAGGCCGCTGTCATGAGCAAGCCAAAAAAGCCTGACCTCTATCGCTGAGACGAGAGAGTGTGATGGTCCTTAAATGCTCGTTTTACACATTCCTGAGATCAATTCTTGGAGAGGTATGATAAAAGATCATTTTTTTAAAATCAAGTTTTCTTGGAAGTTTTCAGTCGATCAACAAAATATCAGCCCCGTGATAACGGGAGCTTGATCGAAAGAAACAAAGTGAGAGCTTTAGAATCGCTCTTGCGTCAAATGGACAAGAGCAAGGCCACTGTCATGAACAAGCCAAAAAGAACGCATGAGTCGTCAAGATAGGACTTGGGATGCGTTTGATCACATCTTTGCTGTGATCATTTGTATTCATCCGATCCAACACAGGACGGGGAGATCTTTCGGCGATGATTTTGGTCTAGTTTCCTGACAAGTTGGAGGCCTAGTTTACACTTTTTTTCTCGGTCGAAGCGTCGGGCATGAACCACGAGGAAAACTATTGGAGATTGGAATCGCAATTTTGTCAATTCAATCTTTGAGCCTGAGTGGGACGGTGGTGGGTTCTCATGATTAAACAAGCCCGATTCGCTTCTCCATCGCTTTTGATTGACCCAAAGAAAGAAGAAACTCACACACGAGAGAGCGAGAGAGAGAGAGAGAGAGAGTTCCTGGGATCTTGCCACGGCAGCACATCCTTACACGTGTCACAATTTGAGGACCACAAAAGCTTGGCTCCATTGCTTTAACATTATACTAGCTATAGCTTGGAAGTTCCAACTTGGAAGAGCTCATAGTCTCCTTTGAGACGATCAAGGAGCTCTGGCGATGGATCCATCTATGGAGTCCATCACAAGAAATCTAGCAGCATTGCCGGACAGTGCACGCCACAGCCTGCGCCCAATGCCGCAGCCTCGTCTTCACCACTTGCGGATGATCCCCTGCCAAGGACAGGGAGAAATCAGCCAAAAGCATCTCTAAACCCTAGCTAAAACCCACCTGGGCTCGCGATCTTCCACTCCACCGGGCTGGACGACCCGCTGGGCTCGCTCCCATTCTCCTGGAAGTGGCGGAGCGCGTGGCAAATCTCCAGCGCCGGGAGCGTCTCGCACAGCCGCGGATCCTCGCAATCGAATCGGAAGCCCAGATCAATGCAGCCGCGCAGCTCCTCCAGATCGTCGTCCGTGAGGCTGCGCGTGCGTGTTCTTCGCAGCCTGGGTGTGGCGGGGCTGGATTCCTCCAAGATTGACGCCAATGGAGGTGGCTTCTGGCCGCAATCCGACGCCGAGCGGCCCAGCGCGCGATCCTTGCCCGCGGGATCCAGCTCCAGGTCGCGCAATTCGTCCAGGAGCGACTGATCGCGCCGCCGCTCCCACGCCTCCTCGCAAATCGCCTGTGACGACCACGATCTCTGCCGGGACAGCCTCCGGCGAGGAGCTTTTGGAATCACTTCTTCGTCCACCATGATCTCTTCCTGCGATCCTTTGCAAAAGGGAAGACTTGTAGCCACAACCTTTTCTCCCTTTTCCTCGACATCGAGCTCGATTTCCTCCAATTTCTCCATCGCGCAGCTGCGATCATCCAATTCCATCGCCCCTCTTCCTCCACTCGAGTGGCAAAAATAAATTGGAAAGATCCTTGTAATGTAGAAATAGCTCCAAGGTCACTTAATGCTTAAATTTACAATGGCGACCAACTGGAAGGCAAAGGTCTGTGTTGCTTGTGGCTATGGCGGATGGAACGAGCGACCTATTGGCTTTTACGCAGCCCGGGCTGGAATTCCATCTCAGAATCGGCAGCCATCACAACCGTCCAATCCAAGCCCTCGTTTTCTCTTTAGATAACCCGGCAGGCATTTTCACATTATCATCTACAGCCTCGAGAAAGAATCATACACTCAAAACCAAAAAGAAAAAAAAGAAGCAATCAATCGATCCATACATCGCTCCTGCTACTGATTGCAAATCTCGTCCTTGTTCTCCTCCTGATCTGGCCTCGTCTTCTCACTGCTGCGCTGCTCGAAACTTTTCTCTTCATCTCCTTCCTTGGCTACCTCGAAAGCTTTCTCATCTTTGGCGGCTAGAAGAACCTCGGGAGCTTTCTCCTGATCTCCATCCTTGGCTTGGAATCCACCGTCGAGCTCCTGCTCTGGCTGCAACGCCCTGATCTTGATGCAAAATCTCTTCCCATCGTCTGTGCTTCGATCCACATCCAGGCAGCCGATCACCGACGACGAGATCCCCGACTCCAGATGCCCGATGGTGGCACCGCATTGCCGGCACAAGAGCCGCGTTTGCATTCTCTGGATCCCCCACTTCCCTGGCGACTCGAAGTATGGGCCACACTTGACCTCGTCCAGCATTCTAAACCGGCTCTCATCGATCGAGAGGAAGTAGAGGATCCCTTTCCTGCTAGTTTTGGAGTACCTGGGACCGATGCTCGTGATGAGCCGATCGGAGGAGCTGAGATTGAGCTTGAACGCGCACCTCCCGCAGCTGGAAAGCAGAGAATTAGCTCGACTGGAGCAAGAAATCCGCGAAGAAGAGCTCGAAGAAAAGCCCATCGACGATCTCGCGTGGATGAATTCCTTTACCTGTAGGAAACGTCTCTGGTCGATCCCGTCGCCGATACCGCCATGGAATGCTAGCACCTCCTCCTCGCAGCAATGCCTCCTACCATAGCCACTGCGACAAACCCTAAGCACCATTGCCGGAAAATGCCATTTCCTTAACGGCATGCTGACGGAATATGCTTGAGAGCGGATATGCCGCCACGTATAGCCGTTGGTTCTCTTAAAATCCGACGGCTCTCTAGCGTTTGATGTTTTCAAAGGAAGCAACGATGGGTTTGTCCTCCTGGCGCCAGGGCGTCCGATCGATCAGCGCGAAATCTCGCGTCTTGCAGCTGGATTTCGCTGCTGCGCGGCGCGCACAGCACGGTGAATCGCTTGCCTGAATCGCAGGGATTGAGCAGCGCGCTTGTCATGAAGCTCAGGGTTTTCTCCGGCATTGGAAGGGCTCGGGCACTCGCAGATCTGTATTGCATTGAGTGGAGCAAGCATTTGTGCTGGCATCTCCGGCTCCAATCTCTGCGGCGCTAGGCTACCAGAAATTTTTTGGGAGAATGAGAGGCAGAAGAGTTAGAGTATCGGGGAAATGGATGCTCCTCTTGTGCGTGGCAAGCTTCTGTGTGGGCACGCTCTTCACAAACAGGTAAGACTTCGTCTCCTAGAATGGTTTTTATATATTTTTATTTTCTATTCTCCAAAGTAGTTATCAGTCGTTACTTACGTCGATCAGTCCAAAGATCTCACTGTTACGAATGTAGGATATGGAATGCGTCAGAAGAACTAGACGTGATTCGTCCAAAGACGTCGGATCTCCTTCACATTGTCAAGGACGAACAGTGTGGTCCAAAGCCTGTGAGTTGAAAGCTTGATTCTTACAAGCGAGCTACTTTTTTCTTTGTTTTTCTTGGCAGAAGCCCGAAACATCACCCAGAGATATACTCGATCAAGTGTCCAAAACTCATCACGCAGTTTGGTAAGCACTGTAGGTTCTGTTGGTGCGTGTCTAATATGTGATCGGGTTTGTAGGAACTTGGATAAAACAATATCAACACTTGAGATGGAGCTCTCAGCCGCTCGCTCCATTGCGCAGCAATCCATAGGCTCTCCTGGACTGGGGGTCCCGACTGGTGCTTTTGGTGCTGAGCCTCGACAGAAAGTTTTTGTTGTGATCGGAATAAACACCGCTTTTAGCAGTCGTAAGCGTCGTGATTCCGTTCGAGAGACATGGATGCCTCAAGGTAAATTCGGCTCAACGCATTCTCAAGTGCTTGACTCTTTTCATTTCTTCCAGGCGAGAACTTACGTAAGCTCGAAAAAAAAGGAGTTGTTATCAAGTTTGTTATCGGTCACAGGCATGTCATGTCTTAAGCAGCTGTTGCGACTTTGCTCTAACAGCAGGATTTCCAGTGCAACGCCCGGCGGCCTGTTAGATCGTGCGATTGACGCGGAAGAAGCCCAACACGGCGATTTCCTAAGGCTGGTAATAGAAACGCTTTCTATGTCTTTCCTCTTTCAATGTACTGAAACGTAGTTTCTCCTTGTCTGCTGGCGCAAGGACCATATTGAAGGCTACATGGAGCTGTCGGCAAAAACGAAGATCTACTTTTCTACAGCTGTTGCTAAATGGGATGCGGAATTCTACGTCAAAGTCGACGACGATGTCCATGTGAATATCGGTAAGTGCCAGTCCTGAAAGCTGCTTCTAGTTGTGCTAGCATTTAAGCTTGCAGGCATGCTCGTTTCAACTCTGTCTCTTCTGCGCTCCCAGCCTCGCACTTACATTGGCTGCATGAAATCAGGCCCTGTTCTAGCACAGAAGTAAGTGACATCCGCTCTGAAACTGGTAGATTTTAAATGCCTCGTTCTTCCAGGGGTGTCAAGTATCACGAGCCAGAATACTGGAAGTTTGGTGAAGACGGTAACAGATACTTTCGCCACGCAACAGGTCAGTTGTATGTGATTTCAAAGGATCTGGCGACTTACATCTCTATCAACCAGTAAGTCCATTAAGTTCCTTGTCTGATGGTGTTAGCTAGCGATCTTTGACTTCCTCGGATTTTTTCCAGGCCCATATTGCATCAATTTGCAAACGAAGATGTGTCTCTCGGGGCGTGGTTCATCGGACTGGACGTGAATCACTTCGACGAGCGAAGCTTTTGCTGTGGAACTTCACCGGGTTTGTTCTCGATCGATTGCTCTCGTATCGATTGGATGAAGAATTTTTCTTTTGCTCCTGGCAGATTGCGAGTGGCAAGCTCAAGCAGGCAACGTTTGTGTTGCCTCGTTCGATTGGAGTTGTAGCGGCATTTGCAAATCCGTGGAAAGAATGAAGATCGTGCATGAAAAATGCGGAGAAGGCGACCGCGCTGTCTGGAACGCCGTCTTTTAAAGTTTATAACCATTCTCGTTCCGACGTGTCATTCACGTAAAGCTACAATTCTGACGTGGACATTTTAATGCTGCCACGTCAGAGCTTTAAAGGCACAAAGTTTCGAGCTTTGAAGCACGGGGAAGGATTTCAAAGCATGGTTTCCAACCACCATCACCTTGTGCCCGTGCAACAAAGCTTACCGCTGGAAGCTGAGGACGTCCAGACTTGGGAGCTCGAGTGCCAAGTGTAAGCAGTGTGAACTCCAAGATGTGTGCAGAGCACGTGAATGCTGAATTGCTCCTGCTCCTGGAAATGCCCCTCATTTCCAGCTTAATGTCACCTGAGTAGTACTTGTTTGCAACGTAGGCCACCTTCACAGTGGGAAGCTTGTGGTGGAAGCCAGTGCGAGGATTGTAGTTGCAGTATATTGGCTCTGGAACATGGACCGCAGTGCCAATTCCAGGTGCCAAAGCTTGGAATGACTTCCCACTGCCACAAGGTTTCGAAGGCTACTCTTAGATTGAGTTCGAGCCCCATTGCATTGTCGCCTGGGAACACGATCTTGCCACAACTGTCTGTAGCCATGCAAATATTCTACCACCCAACTTGACAAAGAAAATAGCATGCTCTAGATCATGCTTAGCTGTTCTAGCTCACTCAAAATGCACTCTTGTCCTCTACGCTCTTGGGTTTTCACATGTCGTGAGCAGCTCCAAGATTCTCTCCATACAGGGCTTTCTTACTCCAGAAAATCCCTCAAACACACTAAGGTTGCATCAGATAAGCACTGTCTTTCTTTAAAACCAAAGGTTTGTCACTATTTCCATCCACCTTCGCTGTGGGATTTTCTGGAGAAACTCATGATCAGTGGACCCCAAGTATAGCTCTGAATAGATCGGCAAATACAGTGGAGCCTGGTGGCTGTTTTGAAAGAATGAAGAACGCCATGAAAAATGGGTCTATATAAACATATTCGTGCCGACCTGTCATCGTTATCTAAAACCACGTTGTTACTATCTGACGTGGATATTATTAGGGTTGCCACGTCAGAGTTCTTTCTTTCTTCTTTAGATTTCTATGGCGACGCTGCTGCGGAGGTTCTTCACATCGCTGGCCTTGTCGTCGTCGGCGTCTCCAGAAGAATCGCCCGAATCGGCGCATTCCCTGGCGGAATTTCCCCTTGGCGCGGTGCTCCGGCAGCTTAGCCCCGAGGATCTGGCAACGGCGAGCTTGGTATGCAAGTTCTGGCACGCCTCCGCCACTGAGGACTCGATCTGGGAGGCGATTCTTCGGCGCGAGACGAGCTCCTGGTGGCCGTTCGTGCGGTTTATGGAGGCCTATTTGCGTCCAGAGTTTTCCCAAAGGTAAGATTGCTGTTCTTGAGCGATAGAATGGGGCGGCAAATTCCGCGCACAGGTTTTTAGCAATTCCAGTGGAGCTTGAGCTTCCTTTCTACAAGATCTATTGCGGCAGGCGTAGTTTACAACAGTGTCTTATAATCGATGGAAAGTCTTTCTTTTCTTTCTTATAGATTTGGTCTAAAACACTGGCAGTCGCTCTTCAGGAGGATCTGGCTATTGTAAATATGGACTCGCGAATAAATTCGCTCCCGAAGGAAAGCTGGCGACATTTCTGGTACGTGAATGCTTTTGGTTTCTCGTGGCAAAGTCTTTAGTGTATTTTTTTCTTTGCAGGAGTTCGGGAACATTGACTCTCCTCTTGCTCCGCGGCTGTCTAATCTCTATCAGACGATTCTTAACAGGTATGACGATTTTTCCGCAAGAGGACTTGGTTTTGTAGCAGTTCTTGCTTTCCAGGATGAAAACAAAAGCTTCAGCACAACCGGTTGTCATCTCAACTCCAATATGCCAAAATGATGGTTGTGTGCAATGGTTTCGTTACTTTTTGAGAGTTTTCGTGATCAATCTTTTCTTAGCTAATGGCTACTGCCGCAGATACGGATGTAGCGTTGGCAATGCGACGGCAATACAGAGAAACGACATTTAATGTACTGTTTGATCTTGGATTTCCTGCGGTGTGCGCTGTTAACCAGGTGAAGCTTTTGTAAGCACGATGTAATCCTAAACTGTTCTTACCAGGCAGTTTTGGCTCTTTATTCGGCGATGAGGACTTCGGGAATAGTTGTAAATATCGGCTTTCATGTTACTAGTGTTGTTCCAGGTAATGTTTGTGTTTTAGTATGTCACTGTGACTAAACTGTGAACTTCTTGCCAGTCTATAATGGAACAGTGATGAGAAACATCGGTGTAGAGGTCATTGGCCAAGGAGCGCTCCGTTTAACTGGATATTTAAGTGAGCTCATGCATCAGAATGGAACAAATTTTACGTCAATGTACGCAATCAGAACTTTGAAAGAGGTGATTTTCAAAAATTATTTTGGTTCCAAGTGGCACAACACGTTTGTTATATGCAGAGACTGTGCTATGTAGCGGAAGACTACGAAGCAGAGCTACTCAAAGATACCAGTGCTTCGTGTGACGTTGGCGAAGATGGCAACTTCGTGCTAAAGCACGAGCGGTTTAAAACGGGAGAACTTCTCTTCAGACCATGGCTTGGCGGCATGTAAGTTTTAATTCTATCTCCTCCCGTGAGTGCTAAGTTGCAATGATAGGCGAGCTATGGGATTGCATCACGCCGTTGCCTTGTGCATGGAGCACTGCGCAGACCTGGACTCTTCTGGTGAAGAATGGTACAAAACCATAGTTTTGACAGGAGGATCGGCATGCCTTCCCGGCTTAAAAGGTAACTCACAGCGAAATCCATGGTACTCCTCTGATCCTACTCTTACCGGCCAGAGCGACTAGCCAAGGAACTTCGCTACTATCTGCCAGTCTCTCTAGCGGAAGGGATGACCATCATACCACCGCTTCACGGACCTCACGGAGCATGGATTGGAGCTAAGCTCCTGAGCGACGTAAGTTTCTTTGGTTTGTGTTTTCTCGCTGGATCCAACACGAGCCAGTCACTTTGCAGATGAGCAGCTTTCCACGGGAATGGTGCGTGAGCCGAAAGAAGTTCCGGAAGGTTGGCTCCAGCATTCTCCATGCCATGGCGTTTGATGACAGCTAGAGAGCACACCACCGAAAACTCGGTACTGCTCCGACGACAAGAGAAAAGTCTGGTAAAGTTCGTGACGAGTTTTATAGCTGTGAATTCAGAGCAGCGGAGGACGACCTCCGTCCCAACCCGTGACTTTGTTCTTCGCGCGGTGGTTTTCATTTTCTTACGCTCGCTACTTCTAACCCCGTGTGGAGCGTTTCTTGCAGCTATGACACAACACTCGGCCATTGAATGCGTCGAGAGGAAAGAGTAAGATTTCTTCGTTCTTTCTTTAAGGAGCTTGAAAGGCTGTTGCTGGGAGTACGTTTCAGGAACGACTCTTTCCAAGTGAGGGATAATATCGTTCTTACTACTCGTCCAAGTAAGCGCCCACAGAAGAAGACTCGCTCCTTCTCCACCGCAGGATGGGGCTTGGTGGACGGCGCACGATTAGCGCGCTTATCCACCGTCAAATTGGCAACTAACGGTGGATACGGCACTACTTATGCAGTGCGTTCATATCTTTCCTTTTGATTTGGCCATGGGAAGTAGAGCGCTGGATCATGATCAAGTGTTGGGCGCAGTGGTAGCGGCTTTGGGGCGATCATCCAGCAGAGTAGTCGACTGTAATACTGATTCCTCTCAAGAGTTTAATCCTCCTCCTGCTTCTCCAGCGCCCAAGAACGATCATGGATCCAGGAGCTCGCTGCAGCACCATAATCTCTTCTCGTGCTTCACAGGTAGGAAGATCAAGCCCTCTTCTACGAGTGGATCGTCGTGGTCGTGGCCGCGGAGCCCATCCATCATGTCGCGGCTGCTGCTCAGCCCCAGCATGAGCCCGGACAATCGAATGGGGGACCAGTCGCCGGCAAGGGGCAACCACCATTCCCACAAGATCCGATCGTTCACTTTCTCGGCTGCGAAGGCGAGGAAGAACAGGAGATTCGATGATCCGGAGGAGGAATCGTCGTCCAACCGGGGCGAACCAACCTCGCCCAAAGTTACTTGCATGGGGACCGTGAAGGCGCCCAAATCGTGCAAAGCCAAGACCGCGAGGCCTCCTCCGCGGTGTCCTGGATCGAAGAATCTCACGCATCACCACCAGCAAGTCCAGGATTCCTTGCTTGATCTCAGCAGACTTAGCTCCAAGTCCGGCGAGCTAAGGAGATCAAAGGCGACTGGGTTGGGTCACGATCAGCGACCAAGTTCCCACGGGCACACGCGATCATCGTCATCGCTATCAAACAGGAAGATAAGCTCCATGGATTGCCAGGTCCCTTCTCTACAGTCGCAGCAAATGGTTCCTCAATCGACTGCGTCAATGCCAGCGCAATTCACCACTGCCTCTTCTTTGCAACCAATCGATCTCGTGAAAAGGCCCTCCATCTCCCCAGCGGCGCCGCTCAAGAGGCCCGAGGAGGTGTGCATTTGGCGGAGACGATGCGTCCCGGAGCCCTTGCGTCTCGACATTATGGGATCTGTGGCCGGTCAACTCAAGGCCCGGTCGGTGTCATGTAGCTAGCCAAAGTCGTGTACAAAATTTTATAGTGTGCGCCACTTTTCTTATTGTCTGATAGCAAATCGCCATCATACATCTAAAGATCGGACGGTTTACATAATGCCACGTTTATACAAATAGGATGCTATTACAGGAATATTCTACGTGTCACACGTAATATTCCTGCTAGCGAAGAACCCTAAAACCCCCTGTTGGAAGACAATGCTCCGGATGCCGCCAATCGTCACCTGGGAATTCACCCGATTCCCGCGCAGGACGAAGATTTGCTGCTCCCTCCGCGACGACAGCGACTACATGAGGCAGTGCGTGGAGCTCGCCCGGCGCGGATTAGGGCGCACGTCACCCAATCCCATGGTAGGATGCCTCATTGTCGATAACGCGGGAGAGATTGTGGGCCGAGGATTCCATCCCAGAGCTGGTGAGCCTCATGCCGAGGTGCTCCTCTTCCTCTATTTCTTTCCTCTCTTCTTCTCGCTCAATCGAGAGTTGTTTAGGTGTTTGCACTGCGGGAAGCTGGATCTAAAGCCCATGGATCAACCGCGTACGTGAGCCTGGAGCCCTGCGATCACGTCGGAAGAACACCACCGTGCAGCAGAGCGCTCGTCGCCGCGAGAGTGAGGCGTGTAGTCGTCGGAACGGTGGATCCAAATCCGCTCGTCGCTGGGAAAGGAGTGGAGAGACTGCGACGAGCTGGAGTGGAAGTCACCGTCGGCGTCGAGGAGGAGCTTTGCCGGGTCACCAACGAAGCGTTCTTCCACCGCATCGTGACCAAGAAGCCGTTTGCCTGTCTCAGGTTTGGAAAGCTGGCAATTCCCGAAACTGTGCAAACGATCGTTTCTGTTCCTCTCCGCGTAGATATGCCATGACTATCGATGGATGCCTGCTCGCTGATCCTTCAACTCCGGTCGCCGCGAGTTTCTACAGCCAGCAGCTGGAAGAGTATGATGCGGTTGTCACCACCGAAGCTTCCCTCGACGCCGATCCTGTTCTTCTCTCGGCGGAGCAAGGAGCCAAGCAGCCACTCCGTGTCGTGGCCGTCACCTCTTCTTCGTCACTCTCCCAGCTCGCGGGCCTTTTGAGTGCTCGAGTGTTTGACACCAAGCTGGCCCCAACGCTGCTCGTGATGGACCAGCAGAGCCTGGTGGAGGACGTGACCAAGCAGCTGGGTGGCAAGGGGGAATCCATGGAAACGGTGTTGCGGCGCAAGAACGTAGAAGTGGTACCTGTGAACGAGGTTGATCTCGACTCGGTGCTGGACTTGTGCTACCAGCGGGGTGCCTGCTCGGTGCTGCTCGACTCCACCGCTGGATTCGACATGCTGGGAGTGAAGGAAGCCCTCGAGGACGAAGATCGTGCGGTAATCCAGAAGCTCTGTGTTGTGGTCGCGCCTTTTGCTGGAGGGGGACAAACCCAAAAGGTTGCATCGTCCATGAGAAAACTGGGCAGGCTGACCACGCGAAAATGTGGTGAGAACGTTGTTATTCAAGGCTACTTTGAGTAAAAAGAAACAAATTTTCAAAACAGATTGGAGAGTGTAACCGGAACAAGCCCTGGCAAAGCTTGGAGCTCTTTTAATTTTCTTCTCCTTCTTGTTCTTGCCTTGGGCCGTGAACTTCCTCTGGGGAAAATGGATCCGTCGAAAGGACGATTTCAGCCATGACGGTGTGGGGCGCGTGCCACGTCACTGCCTCTGGGAGGAGCTTGTCTCCCAGTGGTACCGAGGGCTCACTTGATGTTTACTCGAGCGATGGTCAGAGGATCTTGTATGTCTACTGTTTCTTTTGCGAGATAGACACACACTGTGTTTGATAGCCGGTTCATGGTAACGGCCACAAGGATTGGGGAATCTCATCTGGACGTGACCATGGTGATCAAGTACATTGGCAGTGAAGCTATTGCTTAAAGTTCATCAAAAAATCAAATAGTGCTCTAGCGTAATCAAATATCCATCCCACGTTTATCATGGTTGAACGAAACTGAGGTTTCTTGCCCGCTTATGGTGTAAGCTGCATTGGTTACTCGATAATGCCCGGGATCAGGGAAGACACTCGTTTGTGCGTTTTACTTTGGAGGATTTTTTGGCTTGTGTTTGGGCTGAGTGTTTGTGGGGACTGTTGGAACGTGATCTAAGGAGAGCGAAGAGTATAAATGTAATCTCCTTGGATAAAGAAGGTTTTTGGGAAAGGAACAACGTGTTGGAAGGCAGAGCAGCAAACCAGACACGGGAAGCAACTGGCTGATTTCAAGGAAGCCAATGATAAGGAAGTGGTATGTTTGTAAAGTGTCTTTACATTCACCTATGTTTTAACCTTTATGCTAGAAGCCCCATGTCACTGACAGGCTGCTCCTCCTTCCTCCTCTCTCTCCAAGCTCGTTCTTGGCCACTCCCAACCTCCCACCAACTTGCCTTGCCATGGTGATGCTCTACGTAGCAGCTCTGCCAGTTCCCTGGCTCCCTAGCTGCCACCAATGCTCCATCTTGCTTCCCTTCTCTCAAGGGAGTGTCTTGAGAATGACCATGGAGACGCAGTGTTCCCATAGAGGAGCTGTTGGCCGAGCTCTGAGCTCCTACTCTAGGTCTCCACCTCATTTAGATTACAAGGAACACTGTTGGACTGCAATTGTTCGCAAGCTACAAAGAGATTCTCACTTGAAAGCTCTAAAAAAGTTCCTACAATACATATTAATGACTCAGTTTGCCACAGTGGGGCAAATCCATTCCACTCGCCGTGACACATATATGAACTTGTCTAGTCTGCAACACTCAAGGAATGTTAAAAGTTACTCGATACTGCTAGAAACCTTACGAATCTTATGTTGTTGAGTTCTCTTGTGTGGTCTTGTGTTGATGCATTTAACTATAAAGTGGAGGTGTTGTAACCTGTAGTCACATGTTTCTTCTGCCCTTCTAAGATGCCACAAAGCATTTTCATTCCCCACCAAAGTGTCAGCACAAACTTCTGCATTTTCACTCCCCACCAAAGTGTTGGCACAAACTTCTATTTTACTTGTTGGAGAGTATATGAATCAGTTTTTGGAAATTTTATAGTATTTTACATTGCATAAGGTTGCAGATTTAGGGAATCTTCCAGATCTGGGTAGGAGAATCTAGAGCTGGAGTGATCTAGATGTTTAGATGGCATGATATATCAACAACAATAAAAGGATATGGAGGATAGTTCCAATAGTAGTGATAGTGAAGTTAAAGATAGTCTTCCAAGGAACTCTCAAGACTATGTTAAGGTTGGTTGAGGGTTAATAGTTTTAGGTGATAGACTTGATGGGTGTTAAGGAGACTTCTCACTTAAAAACAACTCCCACTTCTGGAAAAGAATTTGATTGTGGTGCTCCTGGCTTAAAGTGGAATGGTATCTCATTTAAATATCATTGATCCGTATCACTGACTCAAAGGATGGGGTGACTAATGCACACTTGTAAGGCAAACTATTTGCCCTGTTCCAAGATCCAATTATGAGCTTTTTTAGCTGTAACAATTACTGGCACTAATATTCAAATTTTCATGGACTAAAGTTGCAAATATTAAAGTTGTCATTACTTAAATGTTTTTCACCCTATATATATAGTTAGGTAAGATAATAACTTCACACATCAACAAGTTGAAGGGTATTATGCAATAGCTCAAGGAAGTGTAAGCAACTAAAGAAAACAAATTGAGAGGTAATTTATTTTAAATACTAGTCCATGTTCTTAGAGTTGGAATAATCATTTTCCATGATTTCTTTTGTACCAAAAAACCAATAAAGGAGCTTTACTATAGCATACATAGTTTTCATTCTTCATTCTATAGTGATTTACTATAAGATAACCATGAAAGTGAACTTAAACCCTCCATAAACCTAAACTTAAGTTTCAAGGATTGTGCCACTAAATGAAGGAATAGACCTAAACTCCCAAACTTGCTACCAAAGAGCAAAGGAATTAGAGCGTAAAACAACTTTTGAGCATTCAACATAAATAGTGAAAAGATAGGAGCACAGGGTAATATAGAAATAGCCCCCCCTCCAATCAAGAGAGTTATTTTTTTCTCTATGATGCAATTTTTTTTATAGATTTATAGATTTTTTTTATAATTTTTTTTAAGTGACTTTTTACTTTTCTAAAATTGTAACCCTTATGTTTTTCTTCTGTAACCTTGTGCTTAGTGGTAAGTTACACATTCTATAGTTAGACTCTATAAGAGTAGTAATTTCTCATTAATCTTGACTTAGTGTTAATGGACCTATACGTTAATTAAAAATGGTGATATCTAACTTAATAGTTTGTGGTTGAGGTGTTAGTGCTCATTTTGTAACCTTGTTCATTAGGAAGTTGTGTACTTATATAAATGCATTTTATAGTCTTTATTTAATTTTAACTGAGTGTTGATCATTTATAGTTGGCCTCTTCAATTATACTCAAAGTTGTTGAACATATGTGTTAATGAGCTTATTGTACTTTAATTGGATTAAAATAATCATTTTAGGCATAATTATTCATGTTTTTATATATTGTACATAGAGTGTTACCTTTAGATTGAACAAGTATATGACTTGATGATGTGAGTTTTCTATTTGGGTCTTATGAAAATGAATTGAAGAGTGATTGTTAGTTACTTTGTGATTAATAATTATTTATAGACTGTATCAAGAATTAATGACACTTTATTTAACTTGATAAGGATTTAGTAGTGATAAATTTGCTTTATCAAATGGTGTTGTAAAGGATTGTGTCATTGGGTTTATATGGTTTTTTATGTTAGTATATTAATTCCACTTTTGTTGATTTTTTTTATTGAGTTTAGTCCATTGTATTAGATTGTATTGAGTTTTGGAGATGGTGATATGGTGATATGGTGATTGCATTGAGTCTTGGATGTGGTATTCTGATATATAAAATACTATTTTTATAATAATACTAAACCCCTTCAACAATTTATAGCTTGTAGCTTATAACAACAAAGCTATAAATTGTTGAAGCTTTTATTTAGTATCTAAGACTAATCCTTCAATAATACTCAACTATAAATAACACATTATCTTGCATCAGTATAACAACCGGTTCTTGATATAAATAAGTGGATT